GGTGCATCTTCTTGTGCACGCTTTATTTGCGATGGTTGTCTCGGCACAGGTTGCAGCCGCTGGGCCGCGTGTGTGCAGAGTTTGCGTCGCAGTACAAAGCCGTTTCTCAAGAGGTTCTCAATGCCGTGAATGCCCTCTGCCATCCTGGAAAGAACTTGGGCTTTTCCTACTTCCTTCAGAGGTTTGATGTGAGTGCCGGCATTACTATGTATTCCACGGTGCTGCTTTTAAAACAGTTCATTCCCAGCCCCAATTGTCATTTGCCCGTTACATACTTGTTTACAGCTGAGTGGGTCATTTGTACCCGCCAGAGCACACATTGCAGGTGGCTTGGCTTACGGACTTGTCGTAGGGTTGCCGCACCAAACACAAGCTTCATGTACTTCAGTACTTCAACTCAGTCAGGGGTGAAGTGGTGGGTATCAGCACCCTAAAACTGCTCCACGCTGTTTGCCTCGTTAGTACGTTATTTGAACGTTTCGGTTCACTGTAACTGGAATGTATCGGTATGCAAAGTATTTAGTTTGTATGACGTGCAGCAGCAGGCTTGTGAGTTGCCGTGGTTATAAAATGGCTGTACACGTTGCTGACTTGTCGTTGTGTGCCTTACCTGTCCATGATGGTTTGCTGTCCAAGTTTCCACGCTCAGTCTGTTCACGAGTGTGTGGCAGCTTTCCCTGTGACTCTCTTACTGTGCGCAGTTAGCTGTCAATGGGATTATTTCCCAATCATCACATCCTTTTTTTTAAATATGCTCATCGGTCGTCGGTCACTTTTTGGTGTCCGCCGTTATCTCTCACAACTAACATTTAATGTTTGCCTAGCTGGGGGCTTAGTAGAGTACACGCTCAGCGGGAGCACACAGTGCGATAACTGTGAGTGCATGTGTGCTTCACTGCTTTTCCTGGTGGGGTATATGATACTTCGAAGTAGTACGGTGCTATTATCCGGGCACTCCATTATCCAGGGTGCTCTGACGTCGGGCCGTGGCACAGGTCCATGTTATCCCTGTTGCATGCTAACCCCAAAAATAGCAGTCAGCTTTGACCACAACTACCTCGTGTGTGTTTGGTGTGGATGCATGTGTTTTGGTGTGGATGCATGTGTTTTGGTGTGGATGCATGTGTTTTGGTGGGGATGCATGTGTTTTGGTGGGGATGCATGTGTTTTGGTGGGGATGCATGTGTTTTGGTGGGGATGCATATGGCGGTATGAGAGTGCGAGAATGTGACGTCATGCTTGCCGCCTTCCTTTGAGTTGTAGAGTGCAGATAAATAGTTATTATTGGTACATGTATGCTGGTACATGTATGCTGAAGGTACATGTATGCTGAAGGTACATGTATGCTGAAGGTACATGTATGCTGAAGGTACATGTATGCTGAAGGTACATGTATGCTGAAGGTACATGTATGCTGAAGGTACATGTATGCTGGTACATGTATGCTGAAGGTACATGTATGCTGAAGGTACATGTATGCTGAAACATTTCACAGTTCGCTTAAGACTCAGTTAGACTGAGTGTTCAGCATCTGTAAGAATGCCATCACCCTGCAAAGATCAAAGGCACAGATGCAGCTCCTAAAGCCCAGGGCTGTGAGTACTAGTAGATCAGCCCACTAGCAAAGTGGTCAAAGACCGAAAATCCCATTCACTGCATTCATGTTTCCATCCTTCCGCTTCCAAGCAGGACTTGAACCTGATGCCCTCTGTTTCTCAATCATGGTATTAGAGCATCCCACCACGCCTTCCTGCCATAGTCAGGCAATATCGATTCGTCAATATGCTTATTGCGCAATGCCGTAGTTTGTACCACCAACGGCCCACTCCGCCCACTCCGCCACCGGGGCATGGCTATGTGCACGGCTGTCGAACAGTGGATTGCTGATCCAAGTGTACTCATGTATTACTCATACTAGTACTCAGTAAGTAGGTGTGTACCTTCCATTTTGGCAATGCGCAATGCTAGTACACTACTGGGTGCCGAAGAACGGAGCGCCGAAGAACGACCAGGCTAGAATGTCACCAAGCACAGCATACCAATGTATAGTATACACGGTGACTCAACTGTACATAGACTGTAATACATGAAAATAAGAATGGTCTAGGCTAGGAGGCTGACACCCCCCCCCCCCCCCCCCCCCCCCCCCCCAGTTCTCCGACCTTTAGGCTTTACTCTTCTGTTTGTGTGTTTCCTCCACTGGGTCATCTGCTTGGTTTGTATGCAGCTCTCAAAGGCTGATGTACAGCGCAATGTCAGTCGGTTTGTGACGTTCCTGGTAGCCCGTCAATGCCTAGATCTGCGTGGTCTGGTGGAGGAAGTGTTTGTCTCCGGTCTCCAACATGCGCGTGTCAAAGGTACTTCTGAAGTACATGTCCAGTGCTGTTACTTACACTTGAGCAAATCTCTTATCAGTACATGTAGTCCAATATGAAAGACAGTTCTCCGCTTGCCTTCTTGTCTGGTAACACCATGACTGTACTTGCGGAATACTAACTTCTGTGTGTTCTTGTATTTGCCTGTTTGTCTGTTTGTTTGTCTCAACTATTTCAACTCCTCACCGTAGACACTCAGAAAATCTCATTCTGTGTGTGTGTGTGTGTGTGTGTGTGTGTGTGTGTGTGTGTGTGTGTGTGTGTGCGTGTGTGCACGTGCATGTGTGCACATTCATTTGTGTGTGTGTATGTGCATGTGTGTGTGTGTGTGTGTGTGTGTGTGTCCGCCCATGTGTTGACTTGACATTGGTCGTACGACAGGTGTTGTTGCTGTGCATGGTGGGCAGTTAGTGTGTCGCTTGCTCCAGCATCTTCTCGTCGAGGAGAAGTTGAGTGAATCAGCATCTGTAGGCAGTAGTGCACCATGGCTACCTAGCAGTGAACAGCGCTCTGTGGCGACACTACAAGCCAGTGTGCCAGTCACTCTCATTCTTAGTGTACTGAAATCGCTACTCAAGCTCAGCAATGGTGGGTTGCATGCATGGCTTGTGCTTCTTTTAGCTTGTGTCTAGTACGTCTCTTTCTATCATCTATGTGTGTGCGTGCATCTGTGCGTGCATGCATGCGTGTGTGCGTGCGTGTGTGCATGCGTGTGTGTGTGCGTGTGCGGGTGCGTGTGTGTGTGTGTGAAGGGTCAGCAGTACTTAACGGTATATATCTTGTGCATGTACTTGTAGTACTACTAGTATGACTGTGTGTAGTGGTGTTTGTGTCCATGTTCTATTGACTTCTGCACAGCATTTCACCAGAATTTTGCATTTAGAGTATATAGGGCGAGAGTTTTAAGTTTTGTGTGTGCTGCTGCTGCTGCTGTTGTTGCTGTTGCTGCGGCTGCTGCTGCTGCTGCTGCTGCTGTTGTTGCTGCTGCTGTTGTTGCTGTTGCTGCTGCTGCTGCAGGTAACTTTGGCGCCAGTAGAATAGGCAGCAGTGGACTGGATGCAGCAGGCCGTTCATCACACATGGGTGCCATGAAACTAACGACGGCAGGCACTGGTGAGCAGCTTGCACAATCATGTCTATACTTGAAGTGGGAAAAATTCATGGCTCGCGTCAGACTCGGCTAGAGGCGGAGTTTTCCGCATTAGTAGGAACGCCACCACCCTCAAAGATCAAGGCACGGATGCAGCTCCTAAAGCAGGCGAGCATAGTTGGATGGCTTAAGACCATGATTGAGAAACAGAGGGTACCAGGTTCAAGTCCTGCTTGGAAGCAGAAGGATTTTGTCAATGGGATCGAAGTGGAAGTATGGTCAAAAATCAAAATTTCACTACTTGTGGTCTTTGGGATGCGTAGTCAAATGGTCCTGATCCGAGGAAGCTGAGACTCTCGCTTTGTCCTGTATTCCCAATCGAACTCGGGTACTTTCGCTTATTGGAAAGGAGTGGAATTCAGCCTCAACCATGGAAAAGGCAGAAATTCTCCCCACATCTTTGCCCCTGATGGCTGAAAGCAAGAGTCCATAACCCCACGAGTGTGAAACTGGGGACTGGCTGCTGTAGCCTGTAGGCCCGCTGTGTGAAACTGGGGACTGGCTACTGTAGCCTGTAAGCCCGCTGTGTGAAACTGGGGACTGGCTGCTGTAGCCTGTAGGCCCGCTGTGTGAAACTGGGGACTGGCTGCTGTAGCCTGTAGGCCCGCTGTGTGAAACTGGGGACTGGCTGCTGTAGCCTGTAGGCCCGCTGCGCGCCGGAATTCTAACATTACGTTATGCCGCTGAGGTACAGAGGACAAAACTCTGCATTCCGATCCGCGACCACGGTGCTTGGAACCAGGGAGTAGTAGTACAAGCGCAACGAATGACGTTATGTTGGAATTCTGCCGCGCGGATCCCCATGTACTGAGTTGCACACTCTTGGGGTTATGGACTCCTGCTGAAAGGTGTGCAGCAGTAGGTATGACCACAGCTATGACCACAGCAGACGTATAGCCTATTCACACGACGAGTACTTGCACGATAATCGCGGTGACTTTGATGATCATCGCTGGGCTGGTGATTCACACGGCACGGCACGCTTTCGTTCAATCAGGGACTTTTTATGTGGTGCCCATGGATACTGACAAAAGAGTGGGAAATTAAAAAATCTTCAGTTAGCCAGCGCTGAATCCCGGAAAATGTCTTCAACCAATAACAAGTGCATGCACGCAGTGGCACGAGCACATTGTGTCGTTGTTTTTCAAAGCTAGCTCTCCTTTGCTTCTCCACCATGTCCATTCTGAAGTATGTTGCTCTCACCCTGCCGCTGCCGACATAACCTGATGGCCGTTCGAGAAAGGCACGGAGATACACACGAAAATTGCTTCTTCACAACGCAAAAGCTGCTGACAAATGTCATCCTCGTCACACAGGCAATGCCCTTGAGATTCTGTTCTTCTTGTGATATGCTTGCATTACACTTCATGCTGACCCGCCATTGCGACTGCCATGATTCGGCCACGCTGCTGCAGGAAGTAGGAAAAGTAACAAAAGCTTTCACATCTGCTTGCATACTAGCCCGGGGTACTGTTCGAGAGAGGCCGTTATATTTTGCACTGAGTGCGTTCGATTATGCCTGCAAATCGATTCATGAATCACCCCTGGCTATTCACATTACCCCATGTGAATAGGGTGAATGGATTCTGAATCGATTCCAGGGCTCATGACATGAAATCAAACGGCGAGATTCCATTCATGAGTTGATTCAAGTGCGTAATCGAACGCACTCACTGTCCTTTCAAAAAGAGTACCTATTGATAGTGGGCACTATTCAAGAGAAGGCACTGATCGCAGGAGTGCTGACAAATCCTGCCAACACAGATCAAGAAACTGCCAGCTTGTAGGCTCGTGATCTAGAGTGGGAAGCACGAAGGATGTGCCATTGCTCCTTGCACGTTGTGAACTCCGTATGCTTCTGATGTATCAATTATTGCTGCTGCCTTAGTTGTTATTGTCGACAAATTTGTCGCATTGTCATTGTCATCATTGTCGTTGCTGTTGCAGGTATATTGCCACAAGGTTTCAGCGATGGCAGCGACTCAGACTCAAATCCGGATCAGAACGAGGCTGCAACGAGTCAACAGGCAAGTGCGTGTGTGTGTGTGTGTGTGTGTGCGGGTGTGTGTGTGTGTGTGTGTGTGTGTGTGCGGGTGTGTGTGTGTGTGTGTGTGTGTGTGTGTGTGTGTGTGTGTGTGTGTGTGTGCGTGTGTGTGCATGTACGTGCGTGCGTGTATTACCGGCGCTAAAATTTGCCGGTTTACAGTACTCAACCGAACTCATTCTGTACCTGTGAAAAGTGCACTGATTCCAATGGTGAACCTCCCAGGTTGATCGGAGCAGGCGTTCTGGAGTTATACCTGCTTGAAGTAGATGGGGAAAAACCAATTTCTTTCTTGTTTCTCTGCAGCAATGAATTTCATACTAGATTTTTTTCCAGTTAGGATACTGGTAGGGTGCCATGTGTCCCATACCGAAGTTTGAAAAAGATCCGACTTCTTTGGGGCAATGGACTTTCACCATTGGAATCAGTGCATTTTTCGCTACAGGTTGTGAAGTTTTCATTGTAGGGTGAACTTCCCCTTTAAAACAAGTGGTTGGGATTTCAGATTTGGTCAACTTTCAGCTGCATCTCTTTTGTCACAGGCTAGCTGGCTAAATACGTGTTGTTTGTCTGTGTGTGTGTGTGTGTGTGTGTGTGTGTGTGTGTGCGTCTGTGTGTGTGTCTGTGTGTGTGTGTGTGCGTGCGTGTGTGTACTCTTTGTACAGGATATACCTCTAGCAAAGCTTGCAGGGATGGTCCTACAAGATATCTGCGGGCAGGTTTGGCTTCGAGAGCAGTGTCTGCGTCACTCTGATCTCGTATGCTCCAAAGAAATCTTGTTGGATCCCGTCTTGAAACCAGCACAGGTACCGCTATCTAAGATACCGATGAGTATTGTTCTCTCTCTTTCTATATCTCTCATATTAGAATCCTGGAATGCTGGAATATTTGAAAGCTGCCCTCTAGTTTTTTGAAATCCTGCCGTGGAGAAGATGCACGAAGACCCCATGTATTTGCGCGTGTGCCACGTGTGTGCATTCGTGTGTTTCCCTTTGTGTGTACATGTATGTGTATATGCATGATGTATTTTAGTACAAGTATTCATGTGCGCTTGTGCACATACCTTGCAGGATACGTATCAATGACAATGTGTTGTGTGCATGCACGTGTGTACCCACCCTTATACCTGTATGATTTTAACAAGTTCCACTGTGTGTGTATCAGTGTGCGCTGGTAGGGTCAAGCTATTTGTGCTTATGTGATTCACTGCGTTGCAGGCCCAAGAGCTACTGCGCCTCATCTGCTATCCGCCTAACTCCTCCAACTCCAGCGCTGGCAGTGCTGGATCTTACCAGTCTGGCACTAGTACAGAGATGGTGTCTCGCATCATGGCTGTGAGTAGTCTTACCCTGCACTCGCACCTTCGAATTACTACTGTATTTCCCCGATTGTAAGGCGCACTCGATTATAAGTCGCATCCCCCACTTTGAGGTTTGAACCACATTGTTTCAATGCATGCATATAAGTAGGATGTCACTCTCGATTGTAAGTCGCATTCCCTTCTTTGCCCTTGAAGTTTAGTGCAAACTGTGTGACTTATATTCGGGGAAATACGATAGTCTGAATTGCGCATGCTTCAATAGATTCTTGGTTGCAAAGTAATGGTAGGAAAGGCGTTGAAACCTTATGACTTCTGTGCTTCATGTGCTGAATTACACATGCCCAATTACACGCATGCCCTCACACCCAGACATATACCTATACAGTGGCACTATGGACTGTATACTGCACTGATCATGAAGTTTGTAAAACATGTAGCATTACTAATGCTGCATTGGGCAGGTTGCGCATGACGAAGTTTCGTAGCGTTCGACGGATCACGGAACACCGAAAAAGGCTACGAAAATCGGTTGATTTGGAGCTCTCGCAAAGTGGGCGCGTCAAGTTTTTGGAGTACGAGAAATCGGTGTCGACAGTCAGGCATGCGCCCGCTCAGTTTACAAGAGTGCGCAGGTGTCGTACATGACTACGTGGCAGTATGGTGATTGCAACGAAAGTAGTTTTCGTTGCTGAGCTCATTTTCCGTCGATAGTTGACGAAAGTTTGTATGGCTTTCATTACTCCAGGCCATAATGGGCGAATCTTACGAATTCTCATTGTGATCAGCCTCTCTCTATTGTGATCAGCCTCTCTCTATTGTGATCAGCCTCTCTCTATTGTGATCAGCCTCTCTCTATTGTGATCAGCCTCTCTCTATTGTGATCAGCCTCTCTCTATTGTGCAAACTAGTACGTAGTGTATTCACTGCAGTCGACTGTGTTGTAAGTACATGTGCATCTTCTTACAACCCCCCCCCCCCCCCCCCTTCCCCATCTCACCCTCCGGTATTGGCTAAATGTACACCCCCCCCCCCCCCCCTCCCCTTCCCCCCTGGCTAAGCATGTGTGGTACTGATAGCTTCGTACATGTATATGTGGTGGCAAAGGTGCATGCCTAGTTTGTGTTGTGTTGAGCCTGGTTGGAAAAGTTGTGATGATGCATTGCCCCTTTGTATGGACACACGCACACAAACATGTCCCTCTTTATATCTGTAGAAGTTGGATCAGTGGAACTTGAGAGCAGCCTCTCTGGAACTTCAGTTGCTGATTCATCAAAACCAGGTAAGTGTGTGAGTGTGCCCACGTGCGTTTGCGCGTACGTTTGCATGGGCGTTTGTGTGTACGTTTGCGCGTACGTGCACGCGCATGTGTGTGTGTGTGTGTGTGTGTGTGTGTGTGTGTGTGTGTGTGTGTGTGTGTTGACTGTTTAGGCTGTTTACTGTGTATGAACTATGATCATAACTAGAGTGGATGTCCCTATGCGGC